GAGGGTGCACACCTCCCACCTAGGCCTTCTGCCAGTGGCCGGGTGTTTCCCAGGACCCTGGGGCTCTGCTGTTCCGAAGCCCTTTGCGACAAGCGCTCTGGCTATGAGGCAGATGTTCCGTACCTCCCTACGCAGCCTTGGATATGTTCCCGGGGGTGATTACAGGTGGGCGCTAGGCAGGCAGGCAAGTTTAGCTGGTAAGCACTTCTGGGTTTATGGGGAGAGAAGGCAAACAGCGACAGCTACTGACCCGTCATGTGGGAATGATGGGGATTGGGGAGCTCATTCTAGGACGAGCAGCTGCAGGGCCACTGTTCTGAAGCAGCTGCTCAGAGACGGGGGTGCTGGCGGGGGTCACTATGCTCAGAAGAGCACAGCTCCAGGTTGCCAGTGTGCCAGTGTGGTGTCTTACTGGAGCTTGAAGAGTCAGGCTCAGGTTAGGAGAGTGGTACAGGATCTCTGAGAGATGCAGGACTGCTGATGTTAGTACTGGTGCTGGGAATCCTAGGAAATAAGGATCCTAGAAACTACACGTGCTTGATCAGTTTCTTAATTGAGGATTTCACACTCAGCCCTCTGTGATTGACTCGACCATCGGCTGTGGCAGGGAGTCTGTGTGCAATGAGTAGACACAGTGATTCACAATACCGCATTAGCTCAACCTCCACTTGAGGGGCTGTTGGTTTTCAATGGTGGTCAGGGTTGCTCTTGCAGAGGGAGTGATAATGTCAGTGGAAGTCAGTGTGTCCAGGGAAGTGTCACATTGAAACTAAGTTGTTAAAAAGAAGTGTGCAACCCTCTCTTGTCCATCTCGGGGCAGAGAGCTGTCCATCAACTTAGGCGTGGGTGCAAATCAGTGGGGATGAACCAGTTCCCAAATGACCCATGAGTGTTGAACAAGTTGTGTTTGGTCCCTGTGCCTGCTCATAGAAGGCTCCTATGGCGTTTAGTCACCCAAGTTTAAGAGGCATGAACTAAATGCTTTCTTGCCTGGTAACGACCGACTCTATCCATAGGTCGCAGATAAATACCCAGCACGTTGCAGGGCGTATTCCTTACTCTGACAGAAAGGCCTGCAGTTGTCTGTGTTCCGTGTGAAGTTAAGGGACTCTGCGTGCTATTGGCTGGGCCACCTGGATGGGTGGTGTGGCTTTGGCCTCCATCTCAAACCAAGTGCTGGGTGGCATCATTGTCAGTGACAAGATGAGCTGCGCGTCATTTGAGTTGGCATCTACAAAATGAACTTGAAGTTGCATTTGCCTCTGAGGAGTAGGTTGGCCACTGAAAGTGAAGTGGAAGCATAGCAAATGCATTTATTAGTATATAGCTCACCTCCCTTAGTCTCCTACCTGACACATGGCAGGACTTGGCCATGTCATTGCCTTTCTCTGAAACGGATAAAAATTGCTTTACCCAGGAGAGTTTGCTTGATCAGTTTTATTCATGCCGTATTCCTTTGCACTTAAATATATATATATATATATTTTTCAACTCAATCTTAGACTAATGGTTATCATGATAGAGGGGTTTTATAGCTCATACTTGTCCTTCATGGTTTCATATTCCGGTACATTCTCCCATATATGCGGCGCCACATTCATTCACTCGTTCATTCCGGTTTTGGAACTTGTAACGTGTGGACTGGTTCTTGCTGCTCTGTTTCCTCCATCCGATCTCTTTCTCATGCCAGTGTAAAGTCTTTCTGGAAAAGGTTCTTTCCAGAACTGCTTTCCGCACAACTGATTGAACAGATTCGAAGGGTTGGAATTCTGCTGATGTTTGTCAAGAAGATGTGTGTCTTCTTGCGTATGCATAGGATGTTGTTGCTGTGGGCTTGTTATTTTTCTGGTGGTGCTGGGTATTGAACCCAGGGCCTTGTACATGTGAGGCAAGCACTCTACCGCTGAGCTATGCCCCAGCCCATGTGCTGCTTGTGTGCCATGCTTTGAGATTAGGTGAGCCTCCTTATCTCACAAGTAGCCGTGATGCTGCCATCCCTGTGCCCTGGTGGGACTGTCCCTCCCACCCAACGCTGATCCACAGTGAAACAGAGGCTTTGGAGAAGGGAGGGAAGAGGTGGTTAAGGGCCTGGTCTCCTGTTGTGTTCACAGGGGAGGAAGCTGAGGTCCGCCATGCTCAGCTCTCTAGGACCAGGCTCAGAGTTCCCTACGCCTGCCCCTACCTTGAGCCGTGTCCCACCAGATGACCGCTTCGCATTCTCACTTCCTGCTTTGTGTTTAATGTGTAATTAAGGGAAGAGAAAACACTAGCTGGCAGCTGTCTCTGGCACGCATGCTAAAATCTGGAAGGGCACATTAAAGCCGAGGGTTACGTGTGGTGGAGTCGCAGGACAAGCCCAAATGAGCGAGTAAGTGAATGGTTTGTGTGTCTGAAGCCCGAGGTAGCTCTCCAGGGACAGGTCCTGTGCCACCCGGTGTGGCAGGCCACTTCTGTGTCATTTCTCCACTGTATGTGGCTCCCCTGGCCACAGTCACTTTCTGGTTGAAGATGGCTGCTGGCGCATGCTCCATCTGACATTCCAGCCGTCAGGGAGGAAGGAAAGTGAGGAAGTCACCCCTGGTGACCAAAAGGAGCCTTCTTCAAAGGGGCACGTTCCAACTTCGTGTACCAGAGTCAGCACCCGCGGAGGATGAAGTGCTCCTTGGCTCTGAGTAGCCCGTGCCCTGCTGTGGCTCGAGGTTCTAGCGGTGGAAAGAGGAGGGAGCGGACCCTGGGCCGGCCGGCTACACAGATGCGTTGCTTTCGTACAGCGAGTAGTTCTTAGCTGTCTCCCCTGCGCCTAGGTATGGGGAAGGCGGGGAGAAAACAGACACAGACACAGTTCCTGTTCTTGGTCAGGCACCAGCCAAACATAAAGACAACTGTATAAACTGGACCAAGTGCTGGGGGCAGGGTGGGGAGGGCTGGGGGGGTGAAGGGGGATATGGGGCAATCCTTCAGTTCCGAGGAAGAAAAACAGATTTGCCTAGCCTAGGCTTGGGACAGGGTCAGACCAAAGATGCTTGACATTGAGAGCAGAAGAACGGAATCCGATGACCTAGGCCACAAGTGGAAGGAAAAATGTTCCAGACTCAGGGAGAGCCCAGGCAGAGCACGGCCTAGCAGCGGCAGCGGACGCTGTAGCAGGCACGGAGGGCAGATCAAGAGGAGGACTCTAGGACAGACCCGAAGGTGGGGCTGCTGGCTCACCTTCCTCGGTCGCCTGGATGGAACACAGGCAGGGCCCGGAGTGTGGGAGGGAGAGTCCCAGGCAAGCCAGAGGAGTTGGCCACCCTCCCTGGAGGCTGAGTGACGGCACAGATTCCTTCTTCGTTATTAATATCTGAAAAGCCCTGCTTTTAGATGGGTTTAGCGCCCTTCTATAGGAAAGCCGTCAATCCACTAGGTAAAGCAGCCCCACAGAGGGGACCCAACACAGAAACCACACTGCACCGGTTAGAGCCCTTGACCCATGAGATTTTCGTTTATCTGCCTTGACTTCTGCTGATCGTGACCTTGGATGTGAATCAGCATGTGATGGGATATGCATTTGAGATAACAGAAGAAACCAGGGATTGGGGAAGCCCTGGCTCTGTGGCAGTTTCTCAACACACATTGAAATCTCCTGGGAGAGTCCGGCTCAGTGCATCACAAAATTCACAGGGGGCTCCGGAGGAGGCTCTGCCCCGCCACAGCCTCTCAGCCGTCAGTGTTACAGTGTTACTGCAGGTCACCCAGGGATCTCCATGTGACACAGATGTGGCTTTGGTGGATTCTCACATCTCAGAATTCAGGATTCCCAGATTCCCCAAATCTGCTTCTGAAAAGGCCTAGCGTGATGTTGACACCCCGTTCCTGTAGATTTAGAGGGGCTGATGCACTGTCAGGTCTGATGAGTTTGTGTCTGAAGTCCCTCCCATCTTTAGGACTGTGTAAAGTTAGAGGGGCTCAGGCGAGCCTCAGCTTCCCCGCTGCTCCCAGGGAGGGGTTGGGGGTGACAGTGTGGGGCTTGGCTGATTCTTGGTGACAGATGAACCAGGGTAGGGGCTTCTGGCCAGGGGGGTCTGAAGATCATGGTGTGCCTTTCTTTAGTTTTCCTACCCCTTGATTAGGGGCCTTTCCAGCCCAGTCAGTGTTGCCAGGATAGGAATCTTTCCTATCAATAAGAAAAGCCGTGGAAAGATTTTTTTAAATAGGAGGTGACACAATCCATATATATTTTTTTAAAGATATCAATCTGTTCTCACTAGAGTGGAAAACAGTTGGGGAAGCCAATTAGAAATGGTAACCATTAGCAACTGTGCCCAAATGATTCTGATTAATGGGAAAACTGCTACCCCTGGGGAGAAAGTGGAGAGTGGCTTGCGCAGGGTAGGTCCCTCAGAGCGCGTGCGTGAGGTCACACAGGCGTCGTATGTGAAAGGCCTGCCCAGTCACCTCACATGATACCAGGCTCTGCCTGGGCCTGCAGCCACGCGAGCTACACACGGGATCTGTACAACCCTGGGATTCCTTGCCCTGTGGAAGGTCGTGCATCTTAGTTGAGGCTCTGTGGGCTTCCTTGCCATACTGAAGTCAAGCGTGGGCCTCCTCCTTCCTTAGGAGGAAGCAGACCCAGATCCTGAGAGGAAAAGGAGACGGGGAAAGGGACAGAGAGGGAGGAGAGGCACAGGCCCAGCAGGTAAGCCCAGGATGGCCTCGTAAATCTTCCAGTCCTACTGTTGCTCAGCCTTGGGGAGGAATGAAAGAAGAGAGACAGAGGGGGGATGGCCGTGCCTACCTCCAGGAAGATCCTCCGCCTTCAGAAGAGGTTGAAACCCCAGCCCAGGTCCAAAGGGCTTTATGTGGACAGCAGGTGGACCATGAGCTAGTTTATAGCTGTGTGTTTGGCGAGTCATAGCTCATGGGCTAAATTGCCCTTTGTTTTTTTATGGCCTATGACCTACGACTGACCAAAGAAGAATACATTTCTCTAACATGAAAATAAAATGCAAATATTCCATTGTCCATAAATAAAGCTTTATTGCGACATAGCCCTGTGGTCTGCTGTCTTGGCTGCATCTCCACTGTAAGGCCGAGTTCCAGTGCGTGGGGCAGAGACCACATGGCTGATGGAACCTGAGGAACCTGTCCCCTGATCTAGAAGGAAGGTGACCCTTGTCCAGTCCTGTCCTGGACAAGGACAAGGAAACATGGACACAGTTTAGGACATGAGGAGAACTCCCCTCCATCCCCCCAAAATAAACACCTCACAGGAGGGTTAGAGATATCTCACCTAGAAGAAAGGATGCTGAGTGGAAATGATGGAAACAGCAAGTTCAGAATTTGTCATTTGTGAATGATAATGAGTCATCCTCATTCTTGGAAGAGGAATTACGCAGTTGGTTTGGAGGACACTGGCCTTCAGTCCGAGTGTGGTTCAGCTGCAGACTCCTCCTCCCCTCTGGCGTCGGTTGGTTCATCTCAGAAGTGAAGCATATTTGTGACAGCTCATCAGATGACTAGATCTACCCTGAATTGAATTCGGTGTTCTCTCTCTGGTTTCCTGTTTGCCGCGTGCCTCTTCCTCTTTATGTGTTCTTGTCTGTCCCAACTCTGCCTTACCAGAGCTGAGCCAGTGCCCGTGCCTTGCCTTCCGGTCTAAACCTCTTTTCTTTATAGAATAGTTAAAGAAAGATGTCTCAGCGTTAGCTTCAGAGGAAGCAGGACCAGGCCTGCATGAAGACAAGGGCTGAGCCTCGGGCTGGGTAGAATCAGACCTCCAAGATGATTCCGATGTGTGTCTTCCTCAACAGCCTGCCATTCTGTGAAAAATGGAAAAGGTTGTCAAACCTATGAAACAAGATTCAGCCTAGTTCTTCATAACACTAGCCAGTAACGATTCGGGTGTGGTCACCAATCTGATCACGGCAGCAGCTTCTTCCTTAAAACCCTTCGGGGCCTTTCTGGACTCTGAGGCGCAATGTCAGCATCTTAAGTCATGGGCCTTGGTCTGCTGTCCTGGTCTGCTCACTTTTCTAGCCTGGTGAGCTCCTCATTCACAGTCCTCAGCTTAGCTTCACTTTGGAAGCTTTCTTCACCTGGTTGTGGTCAGATTCTCATTTCTTTCTTCTTGATGCTGACTCAGTGGGCTCCGTTCCACGAGGAAGGTCCATTGGTGAAGGTCCAACTGCTGCCAGGAGAGTTCCCTGGTGGCATCAGCTCTAGATACAGCCTGACCTGTGTTTTTAGGGTTAGGATAAATATTGACCTATGAAGAGAAATGCTCTGAAGGAATGGACATGTAGTGTAGTGGTAAAGCATTTGTCTAGCGTGCATAGGGCCCTGTGTTTGAGCCTTAGCACTACCCAAAGGAGGGAGGTAAGAAGCAAGGAAGGAAAAGAGAAAAGTGAAGAAATATTCTGCAAAAGAAACTGGACTCTCATAACTGGGTGCTGGTGGCGCACATCTACAATCCTAGCTACTCAGGAGGCTGAGATGAGATAGGAGGATTGCAGTTCAAATCCAGCCTGGGCAGACAAGTCCTTGAGACTCTTATCTTTGACTAACTGGCAAAAAGCCTGAAGTGGGTGTGTTGATCAAGTGCCAAAGTGCCAGGTTTCAGGAAAAAAAAACAAGTTTTTGGTTCTGAGTTCAAGCACAAAACAAACTCCTGTAAAAGAGAGAAGCGTCCATGACAGGTATAGTGTACATTTGGATAGTGCTCTTAGTTTGTCTTGTTTGTTTTTAAATATTTACTTCTGTGCCAGTCCTGAGGCTTAAATTCCCAGCCCGACACCCAGTCTTTTCAGCTCATGGTAGGCGTTGTACATTTCAGCCACACTTCCACTACCAGTTGTTGCTGTGTTTTTTTTTAAAATAAAATGTTGTACAGAGGGGTTACAAGTACATGAGTAGGGTAATGAGCATTGTTATTCCCCTCCTTTGTTCTCCCCCTACCATCACTTCCCTCCTCACCTTCCCAACTCCCCCCACCCCCCTGCCCCCCAACATTGTAAAGTTCATTTTCAACGTAGTGTCCTGTGCATCTCCTTGTCACAGTGGGTCAGCCTGCATCCCCATTTAAGTGTTCCCCAATATCCCTTCCCCTTCCCAAATATATATACATGTATATATATCACATTTTCGTGATCCATTCATCTACTGAGGGTCATCTGGGTTGGTTCCATATCTTAGCTATGGTAAGTAATGCTGTGACAAACGTGGTTGTGCTGGTAGCTTTGGTATGACCTTGTTTGTGATCCTTTGGGTAAATGCCCAAAAGTGGGATTGCTGGGTCATAGGGAGGCTCTATGTGGAGTCTTTTGAGGAACCTCCATACTGCTTTCCAAACTGGTTGAACAAGTTTACACTCCCACCAACAATGCAGTAGGGTTCCCTTTTAGCCACATCCCCTTCAGCATCTGTTGTTACTAGATTTCTTGATTCTAGCCATTCTAAAGGGGTGAGGTGGAATCTCAACGTTGTCTTGATTTGCATTTCTTTTATGGCTAGGGAGGTTGAGCATTTCTTCATGTGTCTATTGGCCATTCTTATTTCCTCTTCAGGGTAGTCTCTCTTTAAGTCTTGCCTCCTCCTTTGGGTACCAGTTGTTTTTGTGGGTTGATTGGAAAGTCTGTCACATTGGTCTGCCTGGGCTGGCCTGGAACTGCAGTCTTCAGATCACAACCTACTGAGGTGTGGCAACGAGGCGTGAGCTCCCAGCACCTGGTGTAGATTGTGCTTTTTAGTTACTGTTCTGATCTTCTTTTTAGCTCCATGTGTTAGCCAGTGGGCAGTTCTTTAGGGTACTCAAGCCTGAGTGGTTTGTCCCAGATCCTGAACTAGAAAATGGCAGCAGGAAGACACAAGCTTTGGGCTCATTTTTTAAGTTTTTTGTTTTTGCATGGTTGGATAAAATGGTTTTGTGCCTGGAATGTGGAATTCTGTGATTTCATGGAGGAATAGTGACAACTTGCCTTTCTACAGAGCACATCCCACCCACAGCCTTTCTGGATTTATTGTCGGTGGGCCTTTAAAATCACAAATGCAATTAGAACATTAAGATTACCTTTTACAATGCTGAATTGCCTTTAACACGCCTACAGGATGTACCCAGTAAAATGAAGACAGCTCTGACTTAGGACATTATGAAAAGCACACGTACCCGATCCTCTCTCTGTTAGGCAGAGAGCAATTTCCTGTTATGTTATGGATGTGTTCGGGAGTCCCGGGTGAGACGTGCCCCATCGGTGGGGTTGTGCTAGCAGCTTAAGTAGGCTCACGTGACAGGCTACGGGTAAATGTCTTATTGCTCATGACTTTCAAGATAAAAACTTTCCACTTGGTGATTCTCTTCCTCAGCGATAATGATCTTGTTGCTGGCTTTAATATCTTCCTAAGTGAAACGGCTGTCCTTGCTTCATTGAGCAGAATTAATACCTAAAATACAATAGTTTTTTTTACCTCACCATTTCAAAGAGTAATTAAGATAGTGTTGACTTCTAGCCAGAATATGGATGCAAAGCAGGCAGAAACAGCTGTTGCTTATTTGTTTTTAACCTCAGCTTTTTTTTAAGTAGGGACATTTTTACTGAAAGTCTGTTTCTCTGTCTGATACCTGGGACGTGTAAACTCAGCTGCCTTTTCCATCCTTCCAGCTCAGTTTGATGATCGCTCCTTGGCCCATTCAGCGGCCTCTGAGACCCTCCTCTGGTTAGGAGAAAGTCATTGTGTTGGATGTGTTGTCTATATCGTGTGCAGGGAGATAGGACCGTGGTGCTGGCGTTGAGCCATGGATCAGATTGGGACAGAGGGAGTAGTTGAGGTGAAGAAGATTTGTAGCCCCTGGGTAGGTAAAGAACAAAGAATTCACCATCGTGGACCCAGAAACAGCACTGCAAGTTTCAGAGGCGAACTGCTGAATTTTCCTCAGAAAGACTGTGCTGTCTAGGCCAGGATGATCTGTTGTCTGTGTTACCACTTAGTTTCCTGCTCTTCAGTGACTTTTGGTTTTGTTTTCAGGGTTTGGGAGCATTTTTTTTCCTGTTTAAATTATTTCAGCTTTGAAATGCAGTAGAGAATGGGGTGGAGGATGGAGCCCAAAGAATTTTGACCACAAAAAAGCAGTAGTAGTTACAGTAGTTCTCATCTGTCATATTTAGTTGGCGTGATCACAGATCAGACGCAATGTCAGATAGTTAGTTGCTTGGTTGGTTTTAGGAGGACCTAGAGTAATTCCTCAACAGCACCTGAACTACTGAAGTTTTATTTCTTCTGAGGGTGAGGTCTAGGATCTCACTGGTGTTTGGGGTGGGAGGGTGATGCATAATACATAGTTAATAGTATAATACTGTTGTACTAGAAAGCATAACAGTGAATTGTACTGTATTGTAGATTCATTTTAGCCACCACTCAAGCAGTTTAGTGCAAAAGGAGGACAAGGGAGTTTCCGTTTTCGTGTCTCCTGACACAAGGATGCACAGGTCCTGCCACAAGGATTGGGTCCTTCATTCCAGACAGTGTTTTCAGCCCTGGCTTGCTCTGCACGCTTCCTACACACCCTTTGCCAAAGCTTGCCCTGCTACACTCCCTTGTGTTCTTTTCATGCCGCAAACCTGGAGGGGGAGCCTTTTCCGTCTCTCTCCATCATCAAGGAAATTTGAAGCCAGCCTGGGTAGGAAAGTCTGTGAAGACTCACATCTCCACCATCAAAAAGCCAGAAGGGGAGTTGTGGCTTAAGTGGGAGAGCTCCAATTTTGAGTTAAAAAGCTAAGGGACAGTGCCCAGGCCCTGAGTTCAAGCCCTAATACCAATACACATAGCAAATAAATAATAAATCAATCTGTAGACGTGAAGGAAATATAGCTTTTAATTTTTGAACATAAGAAGTGTGACTTACATTTATAGGTGGCAGTGCTATGATGATTTAAATAACTCATGAACTGTTGAAACATGTAAACACTTACTTGAAAAATGCCCTCGTTAGTAACTAGACACATACTTTTAATTTGCTAGTAATATTTTTTTAGTTTCAAGTAATTTTTTTTGGGGGGGGGGTCCAGTCGTGGGCCTGAACTCTGGGCCTGGGCACTGTCCCTCAGCTCTTCAGCTCAAGGCTAGCACTCTACCACTTGAGCCACAGTGCCACTTCCAGCTTTTTTTTTTGTTTCTGCTTATGTGGTGCTGAGGAATCGAACCCAGGGCCTCATGCATGCAAGGCAAGCGCTCTACCACTGAGCCACCTTCCCAGCCTCTCAAGTAAATTCTTTACTGAGTTAAGTACTCAGTTAAAAAAAAAAAACAAAAACAAAAGCCAGGTGCTGGTGGCTCACGCCTATAATCCTAGCTATTCAGGAGGCTGAGATCTGAGGATCACGGTTCAAAGCCAGCCCTGGCAGGAAACTCCGTGAGACTTTTCATCAATAAACCACTAGAAAACTGGAAGTGGTGCTGTGGCTCAAGCGGTAGAGCACTCGCCTTGAGCTGAAGAGCTGAGGGCCAGCACCCAGGCCCAGAGTTCAAGCCCCACGACCGACCGAAGAAAAAAAAAGCAAAATAATAGATTCCATAT